TCACCAGATAAACCTGTGTTCCTCTTTCCCTTTACAGGACACACCGACAGATGCCACAGCACGCTGATACCTACGGCCAGTAGGCTACTCCCTAGTGTACCCGTGCTCTTCTACTTCCATCCCACAGGGGTTCAGGCTTACCAGGAGTGAATTATGTCTTTTCTCAAACCTGCTTATGTCGGTCATATCTGTTACAGTAGGCAAAGCATTTACAGGTATGGGTTATACAAGAAAAAAAGTACAAAACTTCCATCAGTGAGTGGATATGTCTTGGCCATACAAAAAATTGGATAAGTATATATTCACATATCTTAGGTTAAAATAAAATACTTAAGGCATGTAGGCTATTTATGATAGTCCCTACTTCCACTGACTTTTTAAAACTAACTGCCCTACCATACCAGTCTAGCTGTTTTAGGTATGGGAGGATCTATTGTAATTATAAACTGCATAAGAGTTAGAAAGAAAATGAGCAGAGCGCAGTGAGAGAGAATAACAAGGGGTTGTGTGTACCTAGTAGATAATGGGATGCCAGATACAGCAAACAAACAACTTTGGACACCTAAAAAGAAGAAGATTTAATCATATATTTCATAAACTAGTAGTTTCGTGGGAAGTTATATGAGTTAGTCTCTGACAGTGAGTCATAACCTTTTAAATGTAAATACATATGAACCACAGTAATCTAAAAAGTATTAAGGGACTTCCCTGGCGGTCCAGTGGATAAGACTCCACAATCCCAATTCAGGGGACACGGGTTTGATCCCTGGTCGGGGAACTAAGATCCGGCATGCCGCATGCCACACAGCGCGGGCAAAAAAAAAAAAAAAAAAGTATTAAGATCAAGGCATTACCAATACTTGGTGTCAAGTATAAAACATCATACCAGATTGCCATTTGTTGCAATTATGTAAAAAAGAAGATTCCTCCTCTACAGGTTGGATCTATTCTGATATTTTTTCAAGTGAACAAATCTCAAACTTGAGTTCTTTGAATTATGACATTGCTTGAAAACCATTCTTCTAGAAAGGCTACTTGAAGCAGAACTATGCAAAGTATGTTAGTGAGAAAGACTTGAGAGGCAAAGAGATCAGAACAGAGCAATGGTCCAAGGGAGAGATGATGGCACTTGATTTTGGGAAACGGCTATGGACATGGAGACGAGGGAATGGATTCAAGAGATATTTAAGAGACAGACTGATAGTTCATGAAGACCAGGCAGACATGGAGGGTAAGAGAGCAACCTCTATGAAGACTTCCAGATTTCTATCCTGAGTTACCTACCTACAAGTATTCATTTATTACCCCAGAAAATGAAACCCTGTGTGTTATACTCTTTATGTGAAAGTTGGTCTGGCGGGGGTTGGGGGTGAGGGTGGTCAAAAGGCACAAACTTCCAGTTATAAAATAAGTCAGTCATGGGGATGTGATGTACAGAAGGTGACTAGACTTAATAATACTGAACTGCATATTTGAAAGTTGCTGAGAGTCGATCTTAAAAGTTCTCACCACAAGAAAAGAAAAAAAATTGTAAATATCTGTGATGATGGATGTTAACCAGACTTCTTGTGGTGATCATTTCACATTATACACAAATATTGAATTATTATGTCATATACCTGAAACTAATAGAATATTATGTCAATTATATCTCAATTAAAAAAAAAAGTTGGTCCAAGTGAAAGTTCATTATATCAAAATCAACTTGAGACTAAAATGAGAGAATTAAGCATAAGAAAGGCTCAGAGACCAAATAAAAAAACAGCAGTGGTCTCATATAGGTGAAGAGGAAGAATTGGGGGCCATGAATACTCCTGGCCTGGTAACTATTTTTCAATCAAATCATTTTCATTTCAAATGGACATTTACATTATTCAACTGTGTGGCTCCCAAATCAGTAATTTTTCAAAGAATATATCAATAAGTGAGTCCACAAAATACTAACACTAAACATGCAACATTTAAATAAATTAATTTAGATATAGACTAGATAAACACAAAAAACCCATAGGAAAGAGATCTACTTTTTTCCCATCTCTTTAATAAAACCCTGATTAATTCAACAAATATTTTGTTTATTTAGCAAATATTTATTGAGCTCCTACTACATGTTAGGAATTGTTCTTACTGAAAATTTAGCAAGGCAGGGGGGAACAGATATAGATATACACATATGCCACAAAAGCAGGTATCATATGTATTCGTTATCTTATATATGTATAGATATAACAATTACACATATAGAGATAAATTTATAACTGCAATATATATTGTCTAATTGATGTAATATATATCTTTAACTTTCTTTTTTTTGGCCACACCGCGCGGCATGCGGGATCTTAGAGTTCCCTGATCAGGGATTGAACCCGTGCCCCCTGCACTGGAAGCACGGAGTCTTAACCACTGGACCACCAAGGAAGCCCCTATATCTTATATATATAAAGTATATATAAGATACTGCTCTGCATCTTATATATATCTTTGATATACCATATATAGATAAAGATACCTGCTCTTATAGAGCTCATATTCCACTAAGTAGAGACAGTAACTAAATATTCACAATATCAGGTTAATGGCTCCTTAGCGCTTCTGAAGTCTCAGATGACAAGGATCCATAGCCTTCTAAAATTGGGCTCCTATTCAACTCTCCAACTTTATTGCTCATGTTCCTACACTCACTTCACTCACTCACAAAATTATAGAACTCACTGATCTAAATGTGGTCCTGTATTCTCTCAGTTTGCTACCATTCTCTCCATCCAGAAACCGTCGCCACTTATCTCCAAGTGTTACTAATTCTGCCAAGGCTCAGCTCAAGAGGCACTGCTTCCTATAAGGAGATACCTCCCAGCCAAAAGTGACCTTTCTCCTATGAACCCCTAGGGTACTAACAACTATGGTGATACTGACTACACTGGGCTGTGCACTAAAAACTCTTTGTCACATCTGACTAAATGCTTTCACACTCATGGTGGGCTTCATGAGTGTGTAACCTGTCTTGTGCTTGGTTTAATGCTTTAGTGTCAACCATCTTGAAATGCTTAATAAATTGTGAACAAGGAGTCCTGCATTTTCATTTTATACTGGACCCTGAAAATTATGTATCCAGTCCTGTTCATATTAAACATTGCATGCAATCCTCAGTCCAAAAAAACAAAACAAACAAAAAAATCCCCAGAAAGTAAGCAGGAAAGGTATTGTAATTTTCATTTTTTAAAAAAGAGACCTTATGTCCATAAATTCTGGGTACAGGCTGCTAAACAGGGATAACTGACCCTCCTCTCTGGATTAAGGGGATAAAAATAAGCCAAGTGAGCTCAAAATTAAAACTTTGTGTATATGGTCAACTGATCTTCACAAGGGTGCCAAGACCATTCAGAGGGGGAAAGGACAGTCTAGTCACATCAACAAATGGTATTAGGAAAACTGGATTTCCACATACAAAAGAATGAAGTTGGATCCTTATCTTACATCACACACAGAAATTAACTCTAAATGGATTAAAGACCTAAAACTATACAACTCCTAGATGAAAACATAGGAGGAAAGCTTTCATGGCATTAAACTCAGCATGATTTCTTGGACATGACACCAAAAGCACAGGCAAAAAAGGAAAAATATGCAAATGGCACAATATCAAACTTAAAAACTTTTGAGCATCAAAGGACATATCAACAGAGTGAAAGGCAACCTACAAAATGGGAGAAAATATGTGCAAATCATATATCTGATAAGGGGTTAATATCCAGAATACATAAAGAATACTTATAGTGCAACAACAACAAAAAATCAAATAACTCAAAAAATGGGCAAAAGATTTGAATAGACATTTCTCCAAAGATGCTCAACATCATAGGAAAAGATGCTCAACATCACTAATCATCAGAGAAATGCAAATCAAAACCACAACGAGGGCTTCCCTGGTGGCGCAGTGGTTGAGAGTCCGCCTGCCGATGCAGGGGACACGGGTTTGTGCCCCGGTCCGGGAGGATCCCACGTGCCGCGGAGCGGCTGGGCCCGTGAGCCATGGCCACTGAGCCTGCTCGTCCGGAGCCTGTGCTCCGCAACAGGAGAGGCCACAGCAGTGAGAGGCCCGCGTACCGCAAAAAAACCCACAAAAACACAGTGAACTATCACTTCGCCCTCATTAGGATGGCTACTATAGAAAAAATAGAAGATAACAAGTGTTTGTAAGGATGTGGAGAACCTGGAACCAACTGCTGGTGGGATTTTGAAATAGTGCAACCAGTGTGGAAAACAGTATGGTAGTTCCTCTCAAAATTAAAAAAAAGAACTACCATATGATCCAGCAATCTCACTTCTGGGAATATATCCAAAAGAATTGAAAGCAGGGACTCAAAAGAACTACTCATACAACCCATGTTCATAGCAGCAACTATTCACAGTAACCAGGAGGTGGAAACAACTCAAATGTCCATCAATAGATGAACGGATAAACAAAATGTGGTATATACATACAATAGAATATTATTCACCCTTAAAAAACCAGGAAATCCTGTTACATCCTACAATATGAATGAACCTTGTGTACATTATTATGTTGAATGAAATAAACCAGTCACAAAAAGACAAATACTGCATGATTCCACTTATATGAGGCATCTAAAGTAGTCACATTCATAGAAACAGAAAGTAGAATTGTGCTTACCAGGAGCTGGCGGGGGAGGGTGGAAAGGGGAGTTGTTATTTAGTGGGTACAGAACTTCTCATTTATAAAATGAAAATGTTCTGGAGATCTGTTTCACAATAATGTAAGTAAACCTACTACTGAAATGTACACTTAAAAATTGTTAAGATGGTAAATTTTATGTTATGCATTTTTACTACACACACAACACACACACACAGAGTCAAGTCAGAAAACTAATTACATTCTTTGTAGCATTACTTTGTGTTAAAATAACCTCTCGGGGTATATGGACCACAATATAAACAACAAAATATAAAAATATCTTATATTCAGAAAACTTAGTTACCTGCAACAAATCCAACTACCAGATCTTTTCCAGTAGTAGAATGTTGACCTTTGACCCAGACTGCTTTGAGGCTATTAAAAGTGTAGAAATAGACAAAATTGGAGCAGCAGAGACTGGAGATAACTGGAAACCACCCTCGATATGGTGCCAGGCTAGGGGAAGAACATAATAAGCAAAGTAAAAATGCTGAATAAAAGGCACTAGAAATGAGAGTCCTAGAAAAGGCTGATCATCATTCACATACTCTCAAAGTTCACTCCTACTCTACAATGTACTCCAAACTGTACACATATTCTACATTCTGAGGATGCCCAAACCAAGAATTCTTTTCTAGCATTAATGATACCAAAGAAACAACATACATTCTATGACTGATTTATTGATTTCCCCCCTCAATTTCCTTTAGTAAATTACTATGTAAAATTAAAGACAATTTCCTCGTGGCTGTTAGTTAATATAGCATCATTCACATTTTATTACAGGGCAAGAACATTTAAAATGAAGTAAATATAGAAGTGCAAAAAAAAAAAGTGATGGGGGTATATTATAAGGGCACAGGAACCAGACTGAAGGAGCTCACACTGGCCACACCTGGGACAATTTGAGCACCAAAATAATTAAGTAATTAATTGTAAACCATTGAATTTCTGAGTCTGTATGATACTAAATTATTTCCTCATAGACTGCTTATAGTTGGAAAAGAGGAAAAATAAAATTATTCAGTGCTAACTTGAATCTAAGAAATTATAATTAACCAATGGAGGGCAAGTGGACAATATGTGACTCCAATGTGACGTCCTGAGGAGGACACAATTTCACCTATACATTATTCTGGCCAAGAATGCATAGACTCAATCTAATCATGAAGAAACATGAGGCAAACTTAAAGTGAGAAAAATTTTATTTAAGGAAAAATAAGGGGAGAAGGTCCACATCTTTGAAAATGTCAGTCATAGGGGTAAGGGGCTTTGATGTATGGTATGTAACTTACTCTCAAATTAATTCTGAAAACATCTGTGTGTGGTGTGTGTATGTGTCTGTGTAGTAAAGAAAGAAGGAGGGAGTGGGGAAGGGAGGGAGAAAGCATGAGCACAAACGGAAGAGTGTTAACAACAGGTCGATCTGGTTAAAACACATACTGGTATTTTTGTACTATTTTAGTTTTGCAACTTTTTGTAAATTTGAAATTATTTCCAAATAAAAAGTTTTTTAAAAGGTACACAGGTCTGAATGCATCTGATAGGAGTGAGCTAAACAACTATGACCTTCTTCAGTTTATTGTTCATTGGTTTCATGTAAGACGTCATGATCAAGAATCAAAATGGTCAACCACAGAACTTTAAGGAAATGAAAACAACTATGTATTTACTTACAACTCAGGCAATTACAAATTCACAACACTGTGAGGCTTTGAGAATGGATAGAAAGTGAGTGTAGGTATGATGGACGCCCAGGAATCTCCTAATGAGCTGCTCTACCTAACAAAGATGAACAAGGTAGTACTCACAGGCCTTCTTCTTTAATGATCTCCAGGAGCACCATGTGTGTCGTTTTGGACTTTCTTTTCTCATCAACTACAAGACCAAAGAGTACATGTTTAAACTAAATCCTTTGAGAATTGTTATCTTCAGCATCACAAGTTTCACTGAAATGCCATTTACCTCACCTGAGCAGTCTCTCACCCTATTCTTTGAGCTCCCTAGTTTGCCTCAGAACTCAATGATCCTCCTGTGTTCCCGTGTGCTAAATTTCCTACTATTGATTCCATGGTTTCATCTGTTATTCATGAACCATAAAGCGTTTTAATTCAATACCTAATTTCCAAAGTAAAAAATGTAACAGGAGAAATTTATTTCTTATATTTCATAGGGCTCTCTAGTTTTTTTTCAAAGTTATATATTCTCCTTTTTACCTTAATATCTTATAAAGTAGAGAGGAAATAAATTACCATTTCCCTTTCAGAGAAGAGGTTACAGACACAAAGCTGTGAAGGACACATGTAGTTGGCAGCAGAGCCAGGATTAAAATTCAGGTTTACAAAGTTTTAACCTTGTGCTCTGTTCCCTAATCTAAAAAAATAAAAGGTCTCAAAAAGATGGGAACTCTGCTTTTCTTGGCATTCTAAATGAAAACAAAACGTACCTTAATTAACTTCAAATTTCCTACCCACATCTGAAGACTATTTTGAAAATATAAAAATAGGAAAATGAACCGATTTCTTAATAATTAAAATTGGTACCTTTATGGCTCATGGGATGGCAAATTAGGAAACCCCTGTACAAGGCAATCTAACAATAACTATCAAAATTACAAACATTTGCCCTTTGATCAAACAATCCCATTTCTGGGAATTTATCTCATAGAACTTACAGAAACAAATTAGCATATGGGGACTTCCCTGGTGGTGCAGTGGTTAAGAATCCGCCTGCCAATGCAGGGGACGCAGGTTTGAGCCCTGGTCCAGGAAGACCCCACATGCTGTGGAACAACTAAGCCCGCGAGCCACAACTACTGAGCCTGCATGCCACAACCACTGAAGCCTGCGCGCCTAGTGCCCATGCTCTGCAACGAGAAGCCACTGCAATGAGAAGCCCATGCACTGCAATGAGAAGCCCACGCACCGCAACGAAGAGTAGCCCCCGCTTGCCACAACTAGAGAAAGCCTGCACGCATCAATGAAGACCTGATGCAGCCAAAAATAAATAAATTAATTAATTAAATTTATTTTTAAAAATCTAGAAACAATAAATGCTGGAGAGGGTGTGGAGAAAAGGCACTGCACTGTTGGTGGGAATGTAAATTGATACAGCCACTATGGAGAACAGTATGGAGGTTCCTTAAAAAACTAAAAATAGAAATGCCATATGACCCAGCAATTCCACTACTGGGCATATACCCTGAGAAAACCATAATTCAAAAAGATACATGTACCACAATATTCATTGCAGCATTATTTACAGTAGCCAGGACATGGAAACAACCTAAATGTCCATCAACAGATGAATGGATAAAGAAGGTGTGGCACATATATACAATGGAATATTACTCAGCCATAAAAAGGAATGAAATAGAGTTATTTGTAATGAGGTGGATGGACCTAGAGTCTGTTATACAGAGTGAAGTCAGAAAGAGAAAAATACCATATGTTAACACACATATATGGAATCTAAAAAAACGGTACTGATGAACCTAGTGGCAGGGCAGGAATAAAGACCCAGACATAGAGAACGGACTTGAGGACATGGGGAGGAAGGGGAAGCTGGGACGAAGTGAGAGAGTAGCATTGACATATATACACTACCAGATACAAAATGGACGGCTAGTAGGAAGCTGCTGCATAGCACCGGGAGATCAGCTTGATGCTTTGTGACGACCTAGAGGGGTGGGAGAGGGAGGGTGGGAGGGAGTCTCAAGAGGGAGGAGATATGGGGATATATGTATACATATAGCTGATTCACTTTGTTGTATAGCAGAAACTAACACAACATTGTAAAGCAATTATACTCCAATAAAGATATTTAAAAAATGCTGTTAAGTGAAAAATGTAAGATATGGAACAGTGTGAAAAGTATGCTTTTTGAGTAATAAAGAGAGGAAATTGAGACTATATATTATTTGCTTGTTTTTCTACATAAAGAAACTCTCAGGGCTCTTTGAGAGACTAATAGAGACATTATCTACAGGGGAGAGAAAAGGAGACAGTGTAGAGTGAGATTTTTCACTGTACTGCCTATCTTTTTATGTATTTTGGTTTTTGAGTCATATAAAATTATTACCTTTCCAAAATCTCTAAAATTAATTGAAAATAGTGGTCATGAAGGATTTTAATATAGGAATTAGTTTATTCAAAGCTAATCTTACTCTTATCTCTTAATCTAAGTTCTGGCATAGGTTTATAATTTAAAGTTGAAAAATACTGAGGAAAGAACAAGCAGGAGTTACAGAAAGTTGCATAGCCCTATAAAGTGAAAGAGGGAGACTAGGACTACGTACCCACGTGAGCAGTGACAACGGTATCTGGCTCCACCATGTTTCCTATTCTCTGTTCTGTTTCTAGAAAATCTACCCCCAGTAAAAAAAAAAAATCTCCACATTGTGCCTTTCAAAAGTCGTATTGTTTATTAGAATGAACTGTAATGATTCAAAATTACTAATGCAAGCCCACTCAGGTCTCTCAGATTAGAAAATGGCTGAGGCTATGACTCATTCACAAACATCAAAAATAAAAGTTTAAAGTTAGTGAAAATGGACAACAGATTTCTAATGAAATGGGAAATCCTATGTTAACTTAGAACTTAGTAGAGAAGTATGTTTGCTTCCTGATACCAAATGAACAGGAATATGATGACAATAAGATACTTACCTTGAAGTCGAAGTCGAGCTGTATCCAAGGGAAAAAATACTGTCATTGCTGTCATGCTTCCCTGAAAAGTTTGAAAAGCCTTTAGCCATTACAGTATCACAAAAATAATGAGCCACAACTTTTAAATGAACAAAAAGTTCACTATTATCAATGGGTCAGATGAAATTTTCAGTGAACAAATATACAGAATATTTTTATCTATTGGGATCATTAGTGTTCAAACTTCTGTAGTTATATACTTGAACAGACATATTTAATTTTCCAGAAGAAATCTCTTTCTCTCTGATATTGAAAAAGAAAATGTAGTGGGTCCCTGGAGATGACAAACTTAGGGATTTACAACCTAGGACACATGTCAAAGACAGCAGGTAAATGGATTTTTAACCTTTTACTGGTCAGCTACTGCTCCTATGCTCTCCTCTGATACCCCAAGAAACCAAAAAATCTAGTGATCAAACAGATATGTATTTCTATACTCTCTGCTTAATCAATATATTCACCACAAAGTAAAAGGGGTTTAAAAATCATATTGCTCTTTAAAACAGTTCTGTTTGCTTGTGTTTTAAAAAAGAGGGACAACATCTTTGCTAAAAATTCTATAAATAATTTATCCAAGATAACACGACAAAAATTATCACTGGAAAAAAAAAAGAAGCCAACAACCAGTCTTTTCATTCATAAGGCCCTGTGACAGATAAAAACCACAAGTATATAGTTAGGGATAAAATTATATGCATGATATCTCCAGGTGGGTTTATGGTTCTCAACCTAAGTGCAGGCCCAGTGGTATATATTCTCAGGCATAAGGTCAAGTTTTAAGCTACTGATAGAATAACAGTAACATACATATTTTTATCATGATAACAATGGGAAACTAGGTCAACTTTATAGATAAGAACAAAAATGTGCTAGGTCTCTTATGTATTTAAATAGATCAGCCTGTTTGACAAGGAAGAACACTGTATTGTCCTATTAGTTACTCTTCGAAACTCAGATTAAATGTTACCACCCCTACCCATCAGGTTCCTCTGTGTTCCCACAGCACTTGTTTATATGTCTCTTAGAGCACTCATATTGCAGTGAAACCTAACTCTTCCACCGGATTGTAAGAATATCCATTTATCTCGTGGTATACCACAGATTCTTAAATAAATGTTTATTAAATTCACTCTACTTTCAGTTATTTATACAATTTAGATGGCTCCCACATAAATGATCTTTCCTAGTAAGAACTAGATAATACTTAATATTTCAAGAAACACTGGATCTGTAAAGGTTTACAGTCTACAAATCTATTCTTCCGGCATCCTTGCTCACCTTACAGGCAATTTCCAAGAAAAATGGGGGCTGCAAAGCTGGAGAACGCTTATCAAGGTTATTAAGGCCTTTACTTCCTATCACGTGGTACTAGCACGCCTATCCAGAAAAGTCCTGCCTGGAAACTACTTTTTCAAACAATTGGATTACCTCCATCCCTCTTCCCTGTCAGCTTTAAATAGACACCTGAAGTTTCCTAACTTAGAAGACCCTGTCCTACCTACCTTGAAATCTTAAAGTACATTTTACACCAAGATAAAGAGAACAGTCTGTCCAAAGAGCTCAAAGATCTATTACCTCCTCAAGGACTAGCATAAAAAACTCAAATCTGTAAAAATAAAAAACACTTAAAATTGTATTAGTACTGGAAAGACTGGATCTAGATGGTGAACTGAAAACCTACCATTGCCTCCTCCCCATTCCAATCACTAATAATGAGAGAGAAGATTTATATATAAAAGTGTTGTGTAGAAAAACAAAAGGGGTCTGAATGGTGGACCAGAAATTAAAAGGATAGCAGAGTGAGGCTGTTCTGAAAGAAGAAATCACAGACCGAAATGCACAGACAATAGCTATGGCAGGCAGAAAAATGGCCCCCGAAAGATGAACACATTCTAATCCACAGTACTTGTGAACATGTTACATTACATGGCAGGTTGCTAATTGGCTGATCTTAAAATAGGGAGTTTAGTCTGGATTTTCTGAGTGGGCCCAGCGTAATCATAAGGGTCCTTAAAAGTGGAAGAGTAGGTCTTCCCTGGTGGCACAGTGGTTAAGAATCCGCCTGCCAATGCAGGGGACATGGGTTCGAGCCCTGGTCTGGGAAGATCCCACATGCCGTGGAGCAACTAAGTCCGTGCGACACAACTACGGAACCTGCGCTCTAGAGCCCGTGAGCCACAACTACTGAGCCTGCGAGCCACAACTACTGAGCCCGCACACCTAGAGCCCGTGCCCTGCAACAAGAAGCCACCACAAAGAGAAGCCCACGCACC